CTTTCTAACTTGTCCATGTACACATTTGCCAAAAGAGGTGAGAGTGGAGATCAAATCGGTAGTCCAAATATTTGCCCGTAGATACTGCCGTTAAATGTAAAATATGTTGTCCTTACTGTTAGGCTTATCAGTCGTGTTAACGATTCTTTCCGTATCCGTTCTGCCCCCCAGGATGTCCTCTTCTCGCTCCAATATCTCCAGCAAGGCGCTTACCGCCCCACCTAAGATGTTTGTGTATATGGATTGTACATCGAAACTCACCACAGTTCTGACCCCATTAACCCAATGTTCTGGATCCTTTTGGAAAATTCATATGAATTCTTGGCGGTATTTGAGAGTCTGTAATCGACTTTCTTGAGCTTCAAGCAAATGAATTTCGCTATTTTATGCATTGCTACATGTTTGTTGTTGACTATTAGTCTCAGAGGATTTCCTTCCTTGGGTATCTTCGGTAGTCCGTAGGCTGTCGGTGGTTTTGCGTCATTTTTGATTAAAGAATTAATCATCCATCTGTCAATTTCTATAACCACAAACGTTGTGGTTCAACATTGAACCTAATCAAAGCCAGCAGTACCACAACATCTGCGGGTTGGCACATAAGCGACTAGGACATGGCAAGTCATAGACTTGATATTAGGGATAGAGACAGGATAGACGAGGCTGCGATTGGTGCTAGTTGGCTGACAGTAGGTTTTATAAAGGACATGTACCATTTAGCAAAGGCATGACCATGAGACTTACTCTGAGGCCTTAGCCTCTAATCGATCACCCAGGTGCAGGGAATGAACAAATTACGCCTCGAGTAAAACAGATGAGGGGCAGGGTTCGAGTGAAATACATTTACCATGGAGATAGCAGACGGATTCTAAGGTGCAAGAAGGAGACTGATAGGACCCAGGGAAGGACTACGCAACAATATGACGCTGGTCAACATTCCCAGCACAAGGGTTAAGAGAGTGATAACGACAGCATGGAATGTGAAGGTTTTTCATGAATGCCGCTCGAAGGAGCACACCACACTACATTAAACATTGTGACAGGGAAGGCATGATAGGAGAATATATGAAATGTGAATGGGCCAGAGCAGAAAGGGAGATACCACAACTGTTCAGCACATGTTTGGTCAAAGGATGGTCTTCACTTGTCTCTTTGACGAGTTGTAACGATGTCGGTGTTTGCTACCTACTATATTGATTTTATTATATTTATCTATGTTCTTACATATGTTTATAATTTCTCATATTTCCCTCTCAAATCTCTGGCCTGATGGCTCCCTCTATATTTCTGATTCAATTCTTACTTCTCAGGTTATTGAGATATCCAAATGTACGTGCTTGATCGGCGCTTCTGCTGTTCCCGGGGCCTTCTCACCAGATATCTTACAACTGATGCTCAAGTTCACCGAAAAGCCTCTTATCATGGCTCTTAGTAATCCGACTTCGAAAGCTGAATGCACTGCTGAACAAGCTTACCAACATACAAAGGTTATCAATAAATTTGTACTAATGCTTGTTAAATTTTAGATGATACACAAGCTAAGAAAGTTTAATCGAAGGTATGAAGACCAGGAAGGTGTGGTCGCAGCCTCCTTTCGTTGTATAGAAACTCTTTGACCTTGATTTCGCCACTTGATCTTATTAGTAGGAAAACTTAGAGGATTCTACGGGGCAGGAGGGAGACTCTGATAGGACCCAGGGAAGGACTACGTAACAATACGACAGACTATCGTCAACATTCCCAGCACAAGGGTGAAGGGGGTGATAACGACAGCGTGGAGTGTGAAGGGTTTTCATGAATGCCGCTCGAAGGAGCACACCACACTACATTAAAAATAAACACTGTAAAAATTTTGACAAGCAAGACATGATAGGAGGATATATGAAATGTGAATAGCCCAGGGCAGAGGGGGAGATACCACAACTGTTTAGCACACGTTTGGTCAAAATATGTGCTTCACTTGTCTTTTTTGATGAGCTGTACTATGGTGCTACATCATGATTAAGTGGAAATTAGAGCAAGAATCTCACTTATTATTTCTAAAATTCTAAGTATTGTGCTACTGAGTTATCTATATAGAGTGCTGTAGTTTCAGGTGAAAAACCTTCCTAGGGCAATAGCTCAATTCTCTTCTGTAAACCTACAAGGTCGGCTTATTTTGTGATCTTTTTAAATCAATCAGCAAAATGCATGCAAATGGCACACTCTTTGAGAGCTTAGGACGTCTGGAAGGCAAGTTATTGAATTCTTGTTCTTGGATAGACTTGCAATGTAGACCTAATCACGATAATGTTTTACAAAATCACTAAATTGATTGATAGCTGTTTTCAATCTCTAACCCGCCTAATATTTTTGTCTCTATCTCTCTAGAATTAACCTTTACTCTTTCGATGCTTGCTATGAATTGTAAATAGGCTTAATAATAGTTCTAAGCTGACCAGAAGCCCCTAAATGCGTCATGTAATCTTATATACTATTATGTTTCTTTTCAAGAGAAGTTTTTCGTTGAACTCCGTTCAGCTCCATTACTATTATCATAGTCTTTATAATGTTTAAATAAGATCTTTATCCAGCCTAGGTCGGTTAACTTGGAGAACTGGTAGTGAAATTTCTCTCAATGAGCTGAGTTGGCCTTACGATCCAATCAAATTCAACTTAGCCGTGCTTCGATTTAATCGTGAGGCCTACTCATCACTATGTATTATAGTCATCATAATTGGATGATTTTCTCTCCGATGCGCTTAGAATATTCTTTTCTATTATAATGCTTTGTGTGGACTGCTTGTTTCCCACGGTAGCTCCAAACCCATCGTCATTCTGGTATTTCTATTTTAAATGGTTACTTCATTTTCCCCAAGTATTTTTTCCGGCACAGAAGACCTCTAAGCTTCTACATTGCTGTTTATTTTTCCATTTCGTTACTCTCCAGTTATTATTTCATCTGTCCTTTTGAATCATTACTTTCAAAACCTGAATTACCCAGTGCTGATAGCCTGATAATACCATCGTGGTTTTCTGTCTGCTTTAAATTCATTTTGAGTCTCGAAACTCTACTAAAATACAAAAATAAGTATCGTAGTCGATTGTTATATCAAATATACGTTTGCTTCATCGGCAATCCCACCAAGTAATATGATATGGCAAAAGGCCTGGCCTTCCTTGAAATTCACATCTGCCCTATGACCCAAGGGCATTCGTGGCAATATGGTTGAGTGGATAACGGGTCAAGCTTCCATTCTGCACTGTCACGGCCGAACTCTCGCTAGAGGTTTTGATAAGACCGATGCGAGGTCTAAACTAAAGTCCACCCTGGATGAGAACACCATTTGGGAAAGCAATGGAAATTCAATGGAAGTGTCAGCTCTACTTATATCATTGTGGGAAAATTCTACTACCAATACTTTATCACCTTAAATGAAATATGGTGAATTCATCGAAAAATTTACTATTTACTACCCAAAGTCCTTGTCAATAAGTCTTTTAAACCCATTTTCGTTACCTTATACATATGATTTCATCGAGATGTCTTTTGAATCACTTTCTTTGGCGAATTCTGCTAGACAAAGTTCTTCTCTTTCTGTGAAACAGTCTTACACTAAAAGTCTGTATGACTACAAAATGTTAATATTTCTGATTGCAACAAACCATGCAATTACAGATGACCGTTAATTGCCTAGACTTGACATATTTCACTTATTATACTCTTAGAGGCGTGGATACCTTGGCCATAAGGAAGATCTGTTCAGCGTTCTATAGCGTTTATTTATTATTTTTATCATTCATCATGAAAATTTAGGTTTCGTGGGTTTTTCACTTGCTTCACCTTAAGCAGAAGATATGAAGACCAAGATTGTGTGGCCTTTTGTGTGGTCGCAGTCTCGTTTCGTTGTATACAGGTTGTTTGACCTTGTTTTAGCAACTTGGTCATATTGGTAGGAAGACTTAAAGGAATGCATATTTTCCTGAGTCCATTGTATGCATAATTATTTCCAAAGTCGGACCTTGGACGTGGTACATTCCCAGACGTTTCGCCAGCATCATCAGTGAGTTTAACCATTCGTAGCACCATATAACGACTCGTCAAAGAGATAAGTGAAGTCGATCCTTTGACCAAACGTATGCTAAACAGTTATGCTATCTCCCGTTCTGCCGTGGCCTATTCACATTTCATACATCCTCCAATCATGCCTTCACTGTCACAATATTTTACTTGCTTAATTAACTGTGGTACGGTGTGCCCTTTTGAGCGGCTTTCATGAGAACCCTCCGCACTCTACACTGGCCTTCTCATCGCCCTTCATCCTTGTGCTGGGAATGTTCATT